TTAACATCATTGTCTGTGCGGCCTGGAAGCTGAGCAGCAATCAATGACCATCTGTGATGCCATTTCGCAATCAGTCATTGAATAGCAGAACTTGATACAAAAAAAGGTTTATGCAGCATGTATTGAAAGACTGAGCAAATATATATAGATATTGATTGGTGTACCGGTTGCCAACAACAGAGTGAAGCTTGACGATGGTATGTTCTTCTGCATCTGAAAACTGGCCGTGCTTCAGATCAGGCCGGAGATAATTAGTCCACCGCAACCTGCAACTCTTCCCACATCTCTGGAGACCTTAAATCATACAAGGACATAAAAAAAACAATGTTAATCGGGTAATAAATTATAGCATATGAATGATGATGCTAATAAGAACATTAACGCGGAAGGGGGGGAGGGACAGAAACCAGCATTCTTGGGGATGAGCCGCCAGTTACGGGTGCCGTGTTGGGCGATGTAAGAAGAGAGTTTGTTATCTTCTTCAGGTGTCCATTGCCCCCTTTTCACGTTGTCCTTCTCACAACACGGAATCCTGCCCATCTGTGTGTGTTTGTCTTTTGTTTACTCTTCTTCTCTCGCACGATCCTCCTTAAGAAATGCTAATACCTTGGCTGCTATAATGCTGTCTACTAATGAATGATAAGAAAACTGACTAGTGCCTCAAGTTTTGGGGAAGCAAAATTATAAAGAAAAGAAAACAAGTGGAAGTGAGAAAAGAAATGGTAAGCGGGCCCATTCTTATATACAGAAACAAAAGTTTGGTTTGCATATGAAATATTGCATGGGGTTGAATTAAATTGGAAATAATAAAAATGGCATCGAAGGTGCATGATTTTGTTAAACTATTCAACGCTATTGAGAGTGTGAGAGGTGGGCTGGTAGCTCACCCACAAGACACCCGGTCAACTCTCTCTCTCTCTCACTTGTTGACTCCCCTAGGAGGTCCTTGCTGATGTTTTGGGTTGGGTCGCTTTCTGCTTTGATCACACAATTTTACCACCGCCTCCATAGTAGGAGTCTCGAATTCCTTGAAAGCAGAACATGTGAAGTTTAAGGTTGTTCCACGTACGTGTGGCTCATCATTTTGACGCACGCAGCTTCGAGAGAGAGAATGAGTGGCCTTGGTTTGTTCAACTCGCAAGAATGAAGCCCATTGATGCAGCAGAGTAGACACAGCCAACTGCCCTTGTACTCTTTCTAATTACTCCGTACAAAACATCTTGCCTGAAACCTTGTTGACGGTGGACAACCTCTTTCAATGCCGCCAGTTAAGTGTTCATGTGAATATCTATTATCTAAATACTATTTATTATTCAACATAAAATAATTATATACATCGAAAAACAAACACAAATTATCGGATCAAGTAAAGCTTTTCCCATCTTACATTTTATATAATATTAACTCACAGGAACCGTGCTTCAAACAATTCCAGGTTCCATGTAGTTCTGATGATGAATCCATGGCTTCTCAACTAAAACTTGGAGATGCCTTCACCATAATCAGTAATTCTGCCTCAGGACATCCTTTTTACTCCCTTGGCTCAATCTTGCACTCATCAGCCCTTCAACTGATCCAATCAAAGCAAACGCTGTCACCAAAAAGCAAATGACGCTGAAGGCCCCAAGCATGATCCACTTACTTGTCCATGCCTCAATATTTTTCTGCTTAAAATACATTTCCACAGGAAAATATACAGCTAAGGGCCAAAAGCCGAATCCTCCTAGCTATCCAATAACCTGGTTAAAGTAAGGAAACATCACTGCAATCGCGGTTGTTGGTACGACGTAGATCGCTCGGAAACACAATCTGAGAGATTCAATTGGAAACCTGGAAACCGTGGGAATTTGTAGGTGAGATTCTTATTCAAAAACCTGTTGTCTGGATATTTCTCTGCAACCCAGTTTTCAATGACTGCAAATAATGGCTGGCTGTAAACCTGTCAGCAAAATCAAACCTTGTGAATACTTCAGGGATTGTTACTTCTACGACGCTACTACGAAGGTGCATCAGCTCATCTAGTTATCATGAACATTTTATACACACATACCTGATAGCCACCAACTAGATGAAGCACAATACAAGCATTGGCGAAATCATTAATCCAGTACGGTTCATAAAATCCAAATCCTGTCAAGAGGTTCTTCCCTGGTGTTTTTTCACCGAAAGCTGCATAACCAAAACCTCCACAGCAGAGGTGCAACAACTGCTATTTTCGACGCCTTCTTCAAGTTCTTGCTTTCTAATGGAGGTGATTTTAAAGTATCCTACATGAATTCCAAGTTTCAACACATAAAATTAGGCTCTTTAAAAGAATGATACTGGTGTTTGATCACTTCAGCTTAAAACTTGCCCATCCAGAATCACAATCAGTACCTGTATTTCTAGTAGAATTAGGGGATATGGATATGCAAATGCAATATCTCCAAGTGCTTGAGATACACTCCATACTTTATCAGCTGCCCAATAAGCTGAGACTCCTGCCATCCCACCCTTAACAAATCCATTTGCTGAAGTTTTAGAGAGAACAAAAACTATTCAGAATATATATATATCTACATTAGTTTACAGGAACAACGACTTCGACTCAAGATATGCAAGGCAACAGTCCAATATTTAAGGGCAGCTGATGCTGTACAGCACCTATCACTTGTGCAAACCCTAGTGCAAATCCTATAGAGGCATAGCTGACTGACATGATTGCAGCAAAAATTGATAGCCATTGTAGGTTATGAAAATCTGGTACTTGGGACAGTACAACTTGAACCACTCCAAATAGTAGCATATATAAAGAACCTCCATGTTCACAAGTAGCCTCGTGCTTCTTTGTGATAACAGTTTGATTTCTGAATTGCCCTTCATCTGAAAAAGAAAAAGAAAAAGAAAAAGAAAAGGAGTAATTGCAGTTTGATTTCTGAATTGCCCTTCATCAGAAAAAGAAAAAGAAAAAGAGTAATTGCTTTGTAAGGAACCACAAGGGCAATGCTTTTTCTGATGGAGGTGATTTTAAAGTATCCTATATGAATTCCAAGTTTCAACACATACAATAACTCATGCTGGTAGCAGTAGTAATAGTGGAGGCAATTCCTGTCCCGTAAAAGCCAATTTGTGCGAAGACGCCACATACCAATGCATTCCTTTTTCCTGGAACATGTCAAAGCCATTTAATATGTCAATGACATAATTAATTGGGATATGATCTTTCTCTGAATCTATAGCTTCAACATGATTTTGAATTATTAACAGATATGTCTAAATCAAATCCAATTAAAAAGAAATGAAGTGTGTTTGGTAATGCAGTAAAATGTGTTTTCCTCAAATTGTACTGAAGCAGGAAACCATAAAATTGATGCCCTTTTCAATTTAAAAATGTATTGAAAAACACTTTTAAATACAATGCAAATGATATTATATAAACAACTAAAAAGACGAGGGTTTTTATGGTGCCAAAGCACCTTCCCAACTCTTTTGTTTTATTTCATTTTCATGGTATTTTCTTTTATTTCAATTGAATTTTTTATGGTGTAATGAGATAATATCAAGTTTGCAATTGTGGTAAAAAGACCAAATTAAAAGACAAATAATTGAAACATAAAATATAGAGAACCTACATGGATAATACCAGATTCATGACAACTTTTTATTTGATTAAATTTTTTTTTTTGATTATTGAATTTGAATTTGAGAGAGGAGAGAAAAACTCATTAAAAGATATCAAAGAGAAAAAGGTATTGATAGTCACGATTTCGGTGGCCAAAATAACCAAGTTTGATGTTAAAGGATTGCATTTGATGAAATGAGTTTGATGATAAATATTTTTAGCTTTTATCTTGTTGGAAAAAATAAATTGAGGCTTGAAAAGTTTTGTGCTTTCAAGTTTTTGTATGATTTTAACTGATTTTTTTTGCTATTTAAAAGCTATAAATGAATTTTTATTAAAGTGACAAGATGTTTATTTAGATACTTCTTGAGTGAAAAATGAGTCAAAATTGAGTTTTTCTGGTTCAAAAGTTAGAAACCTAACTTATTGATAGGGTTCTAGTTATAAGGGATGTCATAAATTAAATTGCACAACATGAGATGCACCATCTACTTTATTTAACCTAGTATTCTCTTTCTCTCTTTGATTTTTCTTAAAAAAATTAATTTTTTTAAATAGTATTTTTTGGTATTTTTATAATGTTTCAAAGATATTATTGTAATTTATATCTTTTTTTTTTCTTTTATATTTGATATAAATAGATGATATTAGTATGATGCATTGTTTTTTAACTAATATATTCTTGATGAGAAAAAATAACCTCTAAGATATATATAAAAAAGAGAGTAAAAACACATAAACTCAAAATGAAAGGGGGTGTTAAATATTTGTATATTCATTGTGTTTTACTTTTATAACAAATATTGGCTTAACAATCTAGCACTTAAGTAGCATTAATAGCTATTTTATATTTTATTGATTTATTTATTTTTTAAATTTATTTTATTTAACATAAATAGCATTTTAACATTTTTCAATTAAAAAAAACATGAAATAATAAAACAAATCCATAGCATTGATATATATTTTTTATTTATGTTAAAAATTAATTTAAAATCCTACTATGGCATAGCCTGAATTTTAAAGCTACTACTATACACTAAAATATTTGAAAGGTGCTTAACTTTTTATATAAAAATTAAAAAGTAAAGCTACTCTCAAATCTCTTTTTTCATTTTTTTTTTAAATTTTTAACTTATTCCTCATACTTTTTTTTTAATCGAATCCTTTGGTATCTCTTTTTTTGCTTTTTTTAATTTTAACCTCATTTTTTATTGAATTTTTATGTGATCTAATTTCGTGAGATAAATTTTTAAATTGTAGTAGAAAAGAAAAAATAAAATAAAAGAAAGCGAATCACAATATAAAACATGGAAAGAAAGGCATGATCAATTTGGTCTATATGTTGAATTCATTTATTTTTCAGTCTCAATTATATTTGAGAGAGGAGATAAACTCACCTGATAAGAGGGCGACTGAAGCAAAACACAACATGGTTACAAGACCTGCAATCCACCCTAACTGAGCCATGCTCCCTGCCAGTGATAGCACCCCCGACCCTATCACTCCCGTTATTATGTGTGCCACTGCCGTCCATGCGGTCCCTTCATCACAATTCATTTCACAATCACTTGATTTCGAGTTAGGGAAATATCTGATGAGGATCATCATCATCAAGAAAATAGAAGACAAACTAGTTCTCCTGATTCCAGGCTGAGGAGCATGCAAGAATGATGGTGCCTCTTCTTCTGCTTCAACTCCCTTCATGCAAATTCAATCTCTTTTATGAGAAACACAAAGTTGTTTATATATATATATATATAGGCAGCTAAGGATTCTTCTTACAATTTCAATCTCAATTCTGGTTTCTGACGTATTTTTATTTTATTTTTTTAAAAGAAAAGGAAAGTAAAGGCAAGGTGATTGCATAATTTAAAGAAGAAATAGTATCGTATCATATCATTAGCAGTGGCAAGCGACAACGACTTCTAGTTTCTTAGTTGTTTAGTCTCCTCGTTGCAAATGCATGCCAGTGCCACGGAGACAACAGGGTGGTGATCTGGGGGGTACTTGTACTCTCGAATTTCCTTAAAAGTAGTGAAAAGGCTTCTTAATTGAGTCCTTGTGCTTTAGCTGTGTCAATCCTCCATGCCGTCACTCCTTAAATCCTAGTCTAGTGGGAGATTGCTTTTTTTAAGAAAAATCCTGATGAAGACAACTCAATTTGGAGGCTACCTGAATCCTGCCTAAGCTAACAATATAGGGCTGGCTACCTGGATATGAAGATAGACATTTTCGAAAAACAACAAATGTTTCACACAGTATCATATTAAGTAAAGCTTTTTCCATCTTACATTTTGTACAATATTAATTTACAGGAACCGTGCTTCAAACAATTCCAGGTTCCATCTGGTTCTGATGATGAATCCATGGCTTTTCAACTAAAAACTTGGAGATGCACTCACCATAATCAGTAATTCTGCCTCAGTACATCCCCTTGCAATCAATATCGAAAAGAGAATTCCTGATTGAAGATCCCCATACGACTGATTATCGAGAATTGGAAGATGAAAGACATTCTCCTCCCTTCTTTCTTCACTCTCTTAGCTCAATCTTGCTCTCATCAGCCCTTCAACTGATCCAATCAAAGCAAACGCTGTCACCAAAAAGCAGAAGACGCTAAAGGCTCGAAGCATGATCCACTTAATTGTCCATGCCTCAATATTTTTCTGCTTAAAATACATTTCCACAGGAAAATATACCGTCAAGGGCCAAAAGCCGAATCCTCCTACCAATCCAATAACCTGGTTAAAGTAAGGAAACATCACTGCTATCATGGTTGTTGATACAACGTAGATGGTTCGGAAACACAATCTGAGGAGATTCAATTGGAAACCTGGAAACCGTGGGAATTTGTAGGTGAGATTCTTATTCAAAAACCTGTTGTCTGGATATTTCTCTGCAATCCAGTTTTCACTGACTGCAAATAATGGTTGACTGTAAACCTGTCAGCAAAATCAAACATTGTGAATATTTCAGGGATTGTTACTTCTATGACGCCACAAAGGTGCATCTGCTTATCTTGTTATCATGAACATTGTGTACAGACACATACCTGATAGCCACCAAATAGATGAAGCACAATACAAGCATTGGCGAATTCAATAAGCCAGTACGGTTCATAGAATCCAAATCCTGTCAAGAGGTTCCCTGGTGTTTTTTCTCCAAAAGCTGCATAACCAAAGCCTCCGCAGCAGAGGTAGAAAAATGTGGTGACGACAATTGCTATTGTTGATGCCTTCTTCATGTTCTTGCTTTCTGATGGAGGTGATTTTAAAGTATCCTTTACGATTTCCAAGTTTCAACACATACAATTAGTCTATTGGAAGAACTACACTGGTGTTTGATCGTTTCAGCTTAAAAACTTACCCATCCAGAATCACAATTCATACCTGTATTTCTAGTAGAATTAGGGAATATGGATATGCAAATGCAATATCTCCAAGTGCTTGAGATACATTCCATACTTTATCAGCTGCCCTATAAGCTGAGACTCCTGCGATCCCACCCTTAACAAATCCATTTGCTGAAATTTTAGAGACAGCAGAAACTATTCAGAATAGATGGAGCTAAAAGTTTGCAGGAACAATGACCCCGACACAAGATTTGGAGGGCCAAAAATAGCTGATGCTGTACCGCACCTATCACTTGTGCAAACCCAAGTGCAAATCCTATAGAGGCATAGCTGACTGACATGATTGCAGCAACAATTGATAGCCATTGTAGGTTATGAAAATCTGGTATTTGGGACAGTACAACTTGAACCACTCCAAATAGTAGCATATATAAAGAGCCTCCATATTCACAAGTAGCCTCGTGCCCTTCTTTGTGATAACAGTTTGATTTCTGAATTGCCCTTCATCAGAAAAAATAGAAATTGTTTTGTAAAGAACCACAAGGGCAATGCTCGTCATTAGAAGATCATTTACATTCGAAGATCCCATGGAAATGCAAACTTAGATGATGAATCTGGGACTTGAGAGTAGCTTAAATTACAACAGATGTACCTCATGCTGATAGCAGTAGTAACAGTGTAGACAATTCCTGTTCCATATAAGCCTATTTGTGCGAAGACGCCACATATCAATGCGTTCCTTTTTCCTGAGTCCATGCAATCACCAACTATTAGAAGCTAGTTAATATGTTCATAGCATAATTAAATTAGATCTTTCTCTAAATCTATAGCTTCAACATGATTTGAATTATTAGCAGTAATAGTAGCCACCATAGTTGAAGCTGATAGCAGTAGTACTCAACTCAAAGGGGCAAAAATTTGCATAGTTATAATCATCATAATGCCTGTCAACATTTTTCCAATTCTCTCTTGCATTGTTATGGTCCAAAGCAATTCTCAATATCAAAGAGCCCTCTTTCTCTTCTTCTAAAAAGTTCTTGAAAAATACAAGCAAAAAAAAAATAAAAAATAAAAAAATAGTGACATTCGCAAAGCCTTATAATAATTAGCTATAATAAATCTTAATATATAAAAGAACTCCAAGCTATAATTTCTATTTTTTTTAGTTTACTCTTCCATTTACTTACATTAATTATCATGTTGAACGAATAAATTATTCAATCCATATAGGTTGTTTTCCTTTTTTCATCTATAAATAATTTATAAGTTGACTTTGCAATAACACAATTATTAGCTTCACGTTAAGAGGAATCTGCCACTGTTAATCTATATAGAGAAAAAAAGAAAAGGAAGAGACCAGCTAACATTTTTATGGTTTAGCGTGGATCGTCAGCCCGCAAAAACCTCGTTCTTCGTGCTTGGAGCAACCTAGCTACGTACGACATGTATATATTTATGCTGTACCAAGTCAATTGTTGTTTCTTTACATTTTGATATTCTTTGGAATGAATCAATGAATGTGGCCCTTCGTCACCCTAATAATTAAGTTATTTCAATTTCTAACTCTATAGTAGTCGTCGTCGTCTCGGAAAGGGGAGAAATAAAGGTAAGGCTTGGCATGCAGGAGTCCGCCTTGGCCTGAGACCCTCAGCAATTCCGTTTGGTGGCTGCACAAATGACAAATTTTGCTGTCTCCCATCTATATTTATTTAATTCTCTTAACTTGTTTGCTTCAACCTGTATAAAGGGCAAGCATGACGCCCTAATTTTCAAGCAAAAATCTCAAAATCCAAATTCATTTCATGTACAAACAGGCAAGCACTCTAATTGAAACTTGCTAACGGGCATGGATATATACATAGGGGGATTCAATTGAAAAGGAAATTGGAATATTCTTGTATCGTATCTTACCTAAAGTCTCATGAACAGCTTCAAGGTAAGATCGATTTCTCTTGGGACCCAATTCAGGATCAGGAGATCGATAGCAATCGCAGAGAAGGAAAGCAGAAACAAGGGTGACTAGAGCAAAACAAAGCATGGTTACAGGACCTGCAATCCACCCTAACTGAGCCATGCTCCATGCCAGTGATAGCACACCCGACCCTATCACTCCGGTTATTATGTGTGCCACCGCCGTCCATGCGGTCCCTTCATCACAATTCATTTAACAATCACTTGATTTGAAGTTTATATATATATATGATCTCAAAAGAGCATTAAGGAGAGTAATTGAAATGCATCAAAACTACAAAATATTTGGTTTTGAAAGTGGATTTATGGATGTACATGAGATGAAAATTGTGAGGAGCATATAAACTAGAATTTGAATCTTTGTAAAGCATTGATCTTTACTTTAATTGGAAGAAGAAGAAGATAGAAGATAGAAGATAGAAGACAAACCAGTTCTCTTGATTCCAGGCCTTGGAGGATGCAAGAATGATGATGCCTCTTCTTCTACTCCCATATGGCCTTTCAAGCAAACTCCCCTTTCTTTTGAGAGAAACACAACGTTGTTTTCATATGTTATATGCTAAATAATTTTCTTACAATTTCAATCTCAAGCCTGCTTTCTGATCTTTTGTTTTACAAACAAAAAAAGCAAAGTTTAGGCGAGGTGCTTGCATTATTTAAGGAGAAACAGTATTGTATCATCATATTGGCTATGACAAGCGAAAACGACTTTTTAACTACCACTTGCCTAGGTGCCACGAACAGGGCAAAGAGCTGGGGTACTTGTACTTTTTATCTTTCTTCAAAGTAGTCCCTCATAAAGAGATCTTCTTAATTGTGTCCTTATACTCTAGTTGTTCCAATACTCCATACCGTTACTCCTTCAAACCCTAGGCAAGTGGGAAATTGATTCCTTGAATCCTGACGGAGACAGTTCCTTTTAATTTTTTTATACTTTGTTTTGAATTGAGCGAGCCAGGTTGGAAAATCTTTTTTCAAAATCTAACCAAACCTATCCGCTTTCATTTCTCTAAAGTTTGTCTCAATGTATTAAATTAGATATATTGTTTTAGGAATCAATTAATCTGGATTTTTTAAATCAATCAATTTGGAAGCTCTTAGGGATTTAATTAAATTGGGGAATCATCTTCTAAAATTTGATCTATTTAATCTAATTGGAATCAATTTTCAAAGTTAACCATGTTTTAATTTTCAAATCAAACTCAAGGTGTAATTAGAGCTTAATCAAATTTTGATTTCCTGTCTCACCCAAATCTATAAGCAAATAATGCCGTTAAGGACTAACAATTTGTTGCTAATAATTTTTTGTAGGGCTTGAAGACAGGATCAGCTTGAAGATAGGATCGATTCCTTGCAGGGCCAAATTCAGGAGCAGGAGATCGATCGATAGCAATCGCATGGAAGGAAAGCAGAAACAAGGGCTAATTAAGGGACCCCACCACTCCTGTTATCATGGGTGCTGCTGCCGGCCATACGGTCCCTTCAAGATTTTATCAATTACTTCATGTGAGGTGAAGGGCAGGCACACGTGTTTATTTAAGAACAAAGAGATAGCTTCCATCAATCTCTTAATTCCTTCCCCGCCATTTGAAGGGAACTTGAACATGAGATCTCGAGTTCTTACTAGTAAAAATCTCAGATTGATCTTAACCATTATCATT